GGCAGTGTGTGTGTGATGGGTGCAGTTTGTGTGTATGGGGGCAGTGTGTGTGTGCAGCAGTTTGTGTGTATGAGGGGCAGTGTTTATGTAGGGCAGTTTGTGTGTATGAGGGGCAGTGTTTTGTGTGAGGGCTGCAGTATATGTGTATGGAGGGGCACTATGTGTGTGGTGGGCAGTTTGTGTGTATGAGGAGTGCAGTATGTGTGTATGGGGGGCAGTGTATGTGTGTGTGTGGGGCAATGTGTGTATGGGAGGCAATGTTTGTGTGAGGGGCAGTTTATGTGTGGGGCAGCTTGTGTGTATGAGGGGCAGTGTATGTGTGTGTGGGGCAGTGTTTGTGTGAGGGGTGCAGTATGTGTGTATGGGGGCAGTGTATGTGTGTGTGGGGCAATGTGTGTATGGGGGGACAGTGTTTGTGTGAGGGGTGCAGTATGTGTGTATGGACGCAGTGTGTGAGTGGGGCAGTTTGTGTGTATAGGGGGGTAATGTGTGAATGTGTAGGGTGTTATTCTGTGTGTGGTGGGGAGGGAGGCAGATCAAAGCAAATCTTTGTTATAATAATTAAATAAATAAATAAAATACATATTTTATATACTCCACCTCCCTTCTTATCTGAGGCAGTGGAGAGGGAGACATTGCTTTCCATCCCTGGCAGTTCTAGTGGTGAGAGTGAACTCTAGTCTGCAGCTCAGACCAGAGTTCAATCTCTCGAGAACGGAGCATTGCCATGGTAACCGCGGCAACGCTCTGAGCTCGCGAGAGGAAACCCAGCGGAGCTGCAAGTAAGAGCTACCCCGGGTTCTCTCTCACTCTCCCTCCCCTGCTGGCTGCCAGCAGAGTGCCTTCGGGCTGGAGAGGGAGATCACTGATCTCTCCTCAGGTCCATGAAGGCAAACAGAATGGGCCTGCAGGGGAGACCCTCGGCCTTCTCTGTTTTCTCGGGGGGAGGGGAGAGCCCCCCCTTTGATCCGCCACTGTGACCATGTAGTAAAAACATATACAGTACTTGCTTTTGCCATATCTAACACTAGAAATATATTGTGAATATGACAACATTGGCAGGTTACTGCAATGGTAATGTCAATGCCTCAGAACTGGGAAACTCAGGATTGATATACAGCCACCTACCTCAAATTCTCAAGATTGTAAACTCACCATCAAATATCCCATTTCTTTAACTGTAAAGAGCTGCATAATAATATGTTGGTGCTACATTAATAATAATAACTCAGTTAAATATTTGTGTAGAAGCCTAGTGATACCATCTTTCTTTCCTAACACATAACAGATTACTTCTCTTGATATCAATAATGGATCCTTGTTGGATGATGAAAACCTTCCTTACATTTCACTGAATTTTAGTTGAGCTTTTTATTTAGCCAGTTAATCAAGAATGATCTGACTTATCTCTTTTTAAAAGGCCCTCTCCTTCTCAATGTTACATTTCATGCTGCAATTTGGCCTTTCTGTAATAGAACCTAGATTATTAAAATATCTTCCACAGATATTAAAGTCAAAGCTTGATGTAATAATTTTAACTTTCTAATGCAAGGCAATAGTGTTTCACTATAATACTACACAACATCAATACTTTTACTGCAATATAATATTACACGTAAAATTTTCTGTGGTCACTCTGTCCATTTTCTGCAACTATTTCAAGTACCATTATGTAACTATTTTAGCAAGATGCTTAATGATTGAACCAAATCATTGAACTATTGAAACATAATAAGTAGAGTTGAGCGAACCCGGACTGTAAAGTTCGGGTTCGTACCGAACGTTACGTTTTTTGGACTCCGGACCTGAACACAGACATATCACTGTATGTTCGGGTTGGAGTTCAGTGTTTGGAGATTTAATGGCGCGTTTTGAAAGGATGCAGGGCAGCCAATTAACAAGCGTTTGATTTGTGTGCCCTTAGAAGCCATCACAGCCATGCCTACTAATGGCATGGCTGTGATTGGCCAGTGCAGCATGTGACTCCAGCTCTAAGCTGGAGTCGCGTAGCGCCGCACACACATGAGCTCTTATTAGTGAAGGAAGAGGATGCTGCCGCTTTCAGGGACAGATTAGGAAAGAATTCTGCAAACTAGTACATTAGTGGGGTGCACTTCATATCTGAGAGTAAAATAGAAGCATCAAATACTGCGGTTACATCAGAGTTTTAAAAAGTCCATTTTTTTTGGTGCTAAAAAGTACATTAGTGGGGTGCACTTCATATCTGAGAGTCAAATAGAAGCGTCAAATACTGCGGTTACAGTGCAGTTGTAAAAATTGTAATTGTTTTTGGTGCTAAACTGCTAAATAGTAAATTTGGGGCATGCTCTTCATATCTGAGAGTCAAATAGAAGCGTCAAATAGTGTGGTTACAGTGCACTTGTAAACATTCTTATTTTCTGGGTGCTAATCTGCTAAATAGTAAATGTGGGGCTTGCTCTTCAAATCTGAGAGTCAAATAGAAGTGTCAAATACTGCTGTCACATTGCAGTTTTAAAACTTTAAATTTTTTGGGTGCTAAAAAGTACATTAGTGGGGTGCTCTTCATATCTGAGAGGCAAATAGAAGCATCAAATAGTGCGGTTACAGCGCAGTTGTAAAAATTCTAATTGTTTTGGTGCTAATCTGCTAAATAGTAAATTTTGGGCGCGCTCTTCATATCTGAGAGTCAAATAGAAGCATCAAATAGTGCGGTTACAGCGCAGTTGTAAAAATTCTAATTGTTTTGGTGCTAAACTGCTAAATTTTTGGCATGCTCTTCATGTCTGAGAGTCAAATAGAAGCATCCAATAGTGCGGTTACAGCGCAATTCTAAACATTCTTATTTTCTGGGTGCTAATTTGCTAAATAGTAAATTTGGGGCGTGCTCTTCATATCTGAGAGTCAAATAGAAGTGTCAAATACTGCAGTTACAGCGCAGTTGTAAAAATTCAAATAGTTTTGGTGCTAATCTGCTAAATAGTAAATTTGGGGCGTGCTCTTCATATCTGAGAGTCTAATAGAAGCGTCAAATAGTGCGGTTACAGCGCAATTGTAAATATCCTTATTTTCTGGGTGCTAAACTGCTAAATAGTAAATTTGGGCCCTGCACTTCATATCTGAGAGTCAAATAGAAGTGTCAAATACTGCGGTTACAGCACAGTTGTAAAAATTCTAATTGTTTTGGTGCTAAACTGCTAAATAGTACATTTTTGGCATGCTCTTCATATCTGAGAGTCAAATAGAAGCGTCAAATAGTGCGGCTACAGCGCAATTGTAAACATTCTTATTTTCTGGGTGCTAATCTGCTAAATAGTACATTTGGGGTGTGCTCTTCATATCTGAGAGTCAAATAGAAGCATTACAATAGTGCGGTTACAGCGCAATTGTAAACATTCTTATTTTCTGGGTGCTAAACTGCTAAATAGTAAATTTGGGCCCTGCACTTCATATCTGAGAGTCAAATAGAAGCGTCAAATACTGCGGTTACAGCACAGTTGTAAAAATTATAATTGTTTTGGTGCTAAACTGCTAAATAGTAAATTTTTGGCATGCTCTTCATATCTGAGAGTCAAATAGAAGCGTCAAATAGTGCGGTTACAGCGCAATTGTAAACATCCTTATTTTCTGGGTGCTAAACTGCTAAATAGTAAATTTGGGCCCTGCACTTCATATCTGAGAGTCAAATAGAAGTGTCAAATACTGCGGTTACAGCACAGTTGTAAAAATTCTAATTGCTTTGGTGCTAAACTGCTAAATAGTAAATTTTTGGCATGCTCTTCATATCTGAGAGTCAAATAGAAGCGTCAAATAGTGCGGCTACAGCGCAATTGTAAACATTCTTATTTTCTGGGTGCTAATCTGCTAAATAGTAAATTTGGGGTGTGCTCTTCATATCTGAGAGTCAAAAAGAAGCATTACAATAGTGCGGTTACAGCTCAATTGTAAACATTCTTATTTTCTGGGTGCTAATTTGCTAAATAGTAAATTTGGGGCGTGCTCTTCATATCTGAGCGTCAAATAGAACCGTCAAATACTGTGCTTTCAGCGCACTTCGAATAATTCAATTTGTTTTGGGTGATAAAAAGTAAATTTTGGGTGTGCACTTCATATCTGACAGTCAAATAGAACCGTGAAATACCAATATAAAAATATTGTAATTCGGGGGGCAATACCCTCACAGGTCAAACTGAGAGGTCAGTTTATAGGGAAAACTGTTGCCTGGAGGAAATTCTAAAACAATTTCCATATGTCCTTTGCAGACTTTACATGCTGGAAAAACACAGGTGCCAACTGCTGTGGCTTTCTGCAGTGTGCAGACAGGCAAGGAGGGCAGGGTTGAGGAGTGGGTGAAAGATGATGTGGAGGATGATGAGGTCCTAGACCCCACACGGAATGAAGGTCATGCGAGTGATGTGTGCAGTTTGGAGGAAGAGGCGCTGGTCGCACAGAGGCACTAGCACAGCATAAGAGGGAGCAGGGTGCAAAAGCGTAGCGACCGTCTCCTAGCGCTCGTTGGCATGTATTATCTTTAGAATTCCCACAGTTATCCAAGTAACAGATGGAGCGATAAAAGGAACCATAACAGATTTAACAATCCATTCGCAGTTTCGCAGTCTGGTGACCGGGACCCAGACACTGATGCAGCTTCAGTAAAAAGAGTACTGGATACCAGAAGCCATCACCTGACTGATCCGCAACTTGGAACAGGATGTGACATTCACTGTAGTGGCTGTGCGTGTTTTTGGCATTCTCACCCTGCTGCTGCTCGCCTTTCTGCGCTGCATCGTAACTTTGGCCTTCCCGCTCACCGCCTCATATGCGACGTGCCCACAAGGTGGAACTCCACCTTGCACATGCTGGAGAGACTGTGTGAGCAGCAGCAGGCGATAGTGGAGTCTCAGCTGCAGCACGCACAGGTCAGTCGCTCTGCACCAGACTTGCCCTCCTCAGAGTTAAAGGATTTCAAGTGGACTCATTACAATTAAAGGCCCCTTTAAGAGTCCTGTATTGTTATTTGTCGTCACTACCTTCTCGCATCGGGAGTGGGTCATTTGCGCGCCTGCTGCCTTCCTTGCATGTGGTAGCCGTTTCTCAGGCTACCTCTCCGGAATTGAACCCATGACGTGCTGGGTGATCTCCTCTGGGAACTTGGCTTGATGGGAGTTGAGCCAGTTCTGGGTGGCCCTTGTGATGTGGCATGCCCACTCTGCATGGGAGTCCTTCTCCCCTTTCCGGGTCTCCCTAAACTTTCGGCGGTATTGCTCAGGGGTGACCGCATACCGGGCCAGGAGGATTTGGGTAATAAAGGGATAGTCTCTGATCTGCTCTTCTGGTACAGCCCGGTAAATATCCGCTGCTTTCCCCACTAGTTTGCTGGCCAGGATGGTGACCCAGTCGCTGGGGTCCACGTCTTGGAGTAGACACAGGTGCTCAAAGTCTTGTAAAAAATCATTGATGCCTTCTTATGCTTCCTTGAAGTTTTTGAAGGCATTGTATGGTAGCTTGTGGGCCAGAGTGGTTGTGCATCCCGGCGCCCTCTGCTCCCTTCTTCCTTCATCTGGATTCATGCAGGTCGCCCTCTGTCTATTGGCAGGCTTGCACCTCCAAAAAAGGTCCTGCTGACAATCTCCTCTGAGGGTGGCTCTCGGTAATATGTCAGGCGCCGTTCCACCTCCTTGCGCACTTCCTCCTCATCTCCGGCCTCTGGCTGGGGTTCATTGCCTCACTGCGTGCCTGGTCGTCCTCCATGAGCGCAGCAGTCAATTCGGCCTTGTTACGCCCACCAGGCGTTATTCCTCTGGCTCCACACAAGTCCTGCAGTGTAGGTCACTTTAGAGCACTGCAGTCCATGGGTCTGTTGGCAGGGACATGGGATCCCGCCGCTTGCCACCAATTGAAGCGGGACCTGGGTAACCAATGGTTATCCCCTTTGATTAGAATAGATCAGACCCATTTCCCCAGTAACCGGATGGGATGCAGTTCCAGGATACAACGTTTGACAATCTTTATTTGGGTAAACAGCTTTGCCTCCTGTTGCCTCCTCCTCCTACTCAGCTTCTTCCTCCTCCTCCTCCTCTACCACCTCCTCATCAAGTCAGCATAACACCTTCACCACTAACTTCAGCACAGCCAGTGGGAAACGACAGCAGGCTTTTTTCAAACTCATATGTTTGGGGGAAAAACCCCACACCGCGCAGTAGCTGTGGACGGGCATGGAACAACAGACAAATGAGTGGTTGTTGCCACTGAGCCTCAAGCCCGGCCTGGTGGTGTGCGATAATGGGAGAAATCTCGTAGCAGCTCTGTGCCTAGCCTAGCATGTGCTGAATTTGGTGGTGCAGACATTCCTGAAAAGTTCAGGTCCCCATTGACTTTAATGGGGTTCGGGGTCAAGTTCGGTCCCGATCCCGGACTTTTTTTCAAAGTTCAGCCGAACCTGCTGGACCCGAACATCCAGGTGTCCGCTCAACACTAATAATAAGCTATACCCATACATTTGTTACATATACAGCAGACATTACTAGCACATTTAGTGTAGCATGTATGGCAAAAATATAGAGAAAATTTGAAAAATCTGAATATATAAGATAGCCAAAAATTATAAGCATTAATGACTCCAAAGTCCAGTTGAATATATCTTTATATACTTTGAATATAAGCAGGGCCAGTGCAAGGATTTTTGGGTACATAGGCGAAAATAAATGTTTTAATCCCCCCGCCCCCCAAAAAAATAACATCTACACCTGTGTGCCTCTTAACCTCCCTTTTGTGTTTCTTATCCACTTTTATAAATGTCTTACTCCCTTTAGTGTATCTTATCTCCTATTATTTCCCCATTGTGTGTCTTACACCTCCCTTATGTATCTCTTACAAGCCTTGATTGTCTCTTATCTCCCCTCTCTGTATAACTCTTACATCATCCCACATTTTGTGTGTCTTACTCCTCCCAGCCCCTTTGTGTGACTCCTTCTCTCCCAGATCCTTTGTGTCTTTTACTCTTCCCATCTCCTTTGTGTCTGTCGCTTTTACCCCCAGCCCATCTGTCTATATTTATATTGGCATACATTTTGTGTTGAGACAGAAATTAAAAGGAATGCCACATATAAACATTAGAGATAAGACAAGAGATAAGGCATGATGTCTGCATGAACCTTACATTGCTACACAGACACCAATGACAGATAACACTAATTAATTAACTTTACTTTCTAAAAACTAACGTAATCTTACAAAGTTCCATTGTAAGGAAGGGTGAAATTAAGTTTAGGACGTCTCAGGAATCTAACATATAGCCAAAATTCTATCCTCAAACTTGCATTCAAAATTCCTGGGACATATTTACACATCTGATAGAAAATCTACAACCTAACTGGTAATTATGCTGGTTTTATTAAATTGAATTAAATTAATTGCCTTTACTTATTTTTTTTAATTCTTTATTTATGTTGACAAGGTATAACATACATATATCATATATCTTTCGTAGCTCAAACTTATTTTAACATGCACAGTATGTACATATTGTCTTGGCGTTCACGAGACAAAATCATACAATGAGCAGCACATTGAGAACCTCTCCCATCCCCCCCAAAGCCTATCGTTTGTGCGGCCGTAGCTCTTACTGATACTGCGAGTTGTATTTTGTCAACTTAGTTTTGTGTTTTATATATAATAAGAAAAGAAGAGAGTGAAGTAAGAAAGCGTTTGGTAACAATTGAAACTGAGTCGTTATATTAGTATATCATTGGTGTGGACTCTCCGGTTGACGACGGCCCTTCAGACTATCGTCCCCCTTTATAGTGGGTGTTGCCCCATGATAGTTTTAGGGGATTTGCTATGTGTGACTCGCCCTTCGGTCTCATTGGGGCCTAGCGTATCTCCCATAGCGGGTAGTTATTGCTTGAATGATGTGCTACCGTTAACTGGCAGGGTAACCGCCAGGTTGTGCCCTACACACTTGCGGTCACAGCTGGGCTTTGGTCAGTTTCTGGATAAGTCTCTCTTTACGCCCTCTGGGGGACTCATGCTGTATACAGTAGAGTAAGAAATAAAAACGAGAGAGTGAAGAGTGTCAAAGAAAAAGTCAGTAGAAAGCATAGTAGAGGTGGGTTGGGGTGGGGAGGGGGAAGGTGGGGGGAGAAACAACATAACTTCTTCCTAGCATTCATCCATCCAGTGGACAGTGGATATACTGGGTCTCCCTAAGCCAAGGGGCTGTCATCCCAAGGTGCCCATATTTCTTTGAACTGTTTTTCAGTTCCCCTAACTCTTGCCATCAGGTCACCTATTGTGTGTACCTCCCTTATTTTGGTTATGACCCCTGCTATCTCTGGAGTGGTCTGCTTAAGCCAATCCGCTGCTACAGCTCTCCTGGCTGCTAGAGTTATTTTATGGATGAGTTTTTGTTCGTGTCTGGTCCACCCATCTATCGTTCTACTGAGTAGGAACAGCCATGGATCTAGGGGAGGGGCTCTGGACATTACCTGGGCTAGCAAATCTCTGATTTGTTGCCAGAACCTTGCTATCAGTGGGCATTCCCACCACATATGGATATACGTCCCTTTCATGCCGCATCCTCTCCAGCACGTGTCAGTTGGGTTTTTTCTCATTTGGTGCCATCTTACAGGGGTAGTATACCAGCGAAGCATTGTTTTAACTGCCTGCTCCTGTAATGTTACGCATACTGAGGACTTATGATTGGCTTCCCAGATCTCCTGCCACTCTATGCCTTCTAATTGCTCCCCCAGATCCCTTTCCCATTGTTCCGTATAAGCTAAGTCTCCCCCTTCATTAGGCTCAGAGCAGAGGTGAGCGTATAGCCGAGTTATCAGACCCGTCGGAATATGGTCCTGGAGGCATATTTGTTCGAAAAAAATCATGGGTTTTTGGGCAGCTGCCCTGACCCACGGGAGTTTTGCGAAGTCTTTTATTTGTAAGTACCTAAAAAAATCTGCAGGCGTGAGGTGACCATGTTGCTGTAAGGTGTCAAAGGCTACCACCTCTGAATCCTGTACAAGCTGATGGATGCGTTGTAAGCCTATCCTTTCCAGGTTTCTAAAGTCCCGTGCTGCCATGCCATGCCATGGGAACGCTCTATTGCGAAGGAAAGGCATCAGAGGGGACGGGGCAGATGCCAATTCGTGGCGCTGTCGATTCTTGTCCCAGACATGTATAGAGTTCAGTATAGCTGGGCACGTGACCCTTATGATTTGTCTATTAGCCTTGGGAACCCAGATGAGCAATTGCGGGATGTCTGCCCCCACCATCAGTGATTCCAGATCTACCCATTTCCGTTCTCCAGGTGGCGAGTGCCATAAGGCTATTTGCGCCAATTGTGTCGCCAGGTAATACTTGTACAGGTGTCAGGGTTTCTTTGCTGTTTTAAACAGCCACCCTTCCTTTTTCAGTGTCTGAGGTTTCAGCTGTAATTAACGATCAGCTCCTTCAGCATGTTGCCACGGTTACTCACCTGAGAATAGTAATCAACCCTGCTACTAATCAGTTCAGCCTATTTAAGCAGCAAATCCCAGAACCTCCTTGCCCTTGTGTGGTTTCCTGTTCCCCAGAAGTCTCCTTGTTCCTGTGTTTCCTGTTTGCTCCTGGTTCCTGACTCTGGCCTTGTTCCTGACTCTGCTGCTCTCCGTTCTCCTGATCCTGGCTCGTCTGACTACCCGCTCTGGTGACTGACCCCTGCTTGCCTCCTGGACTTTGCTTTTGGTTATTTATTTGTTATTTATTAAATAAAGGTGTTTTTGCATCTAGATCTGTCTCTGTCTGGTTCCTGGTTCCTGACAACAGGTTAGGCAGTCCCAGGCCTCCCCCAGTCTTTGGCCAGTGCAGTATATGTCTCGAAATTCTATGGCGTTTGTTTTGCCATATGAAATTCCCTATCACTTGCTGGAGGGGTGCTAAGTGTGCCTTTGAAACATGTATGGGTAGAGACTGGAAATAGAATAATATCCTAGGAAGGATGTTCATCTTAACTGCATGAATTCTCCCTATCCAATAGATCGGCCTATGGTTTCAGGTCTCTAGTTCCCTGATTAATTGTTTTATAAGTGGTGTATAGTTCTGTTGTAGGAGTTGGTCCGGGACTGCCGTCAGTTTAATGCCTAGGTATTTAATCGACTGTCGTTCTATGCGTATGTGGTGTGCCCTCTGGATAAATGCTATGTCCACGTCCGCTATCTCTATTGGGAGGGCGCTGGATTTAGTCATGTTGGCTTTGTACCCTGATATCTTCCCATAGTCCTCTAGGACTCCCTGCA